AGTCGTAGCGGTAGTAGTAGTAGTAGCAGTAGTAGTAGCAATAGTAGTCGTCGTAGTAGTAGTAGTCGTGGTAGTAGCGGTAATAGTCGTAGTTGTAGTAATAGTACTAGTAGTAGGGGTAGTAATAGTAGTAGTAGTGGTAGTAGTAGTGGTAGTAGTAGTGGTACTGGCAGTAGTCGTAGTAATATTAGTAGAAGTAATAGTAGTAGTACTTATAGTAGTAGTAGTACTAGTAGCAGTCGTAGTAGAAGTTGCAGTAATGGTTGTAGTAGTAGTAGTAGTCGTAGGTAGTAGTAAAAATAATAGTAGTAGTCGTAGTAAGATTCTTTAGGTCGTCGTCGTCGTCGTTGTCAGCCGACCTGGGCAGGTCGTTAAACTGCCCGTGCATCCTTAAGTTTTGCTTGACGCCCTAAGGTTTTGCATCCTTAACCTCGAGAAGAAGAAGATGCACACGTATGGGGGGTAGGGGGAGGGGATAGAGGGGTGGGAGGGGGAGGTGCGTAGGGGGTAAGGGGGGGGGCCGCGTTTTTGGAGAGGATGCATTCGTTATTCGCATCGGGATTGAGGCAACCCTGGGCTGTGGGAAGCGGCACCCCACGCGAAAACGACGACGACGGCGAACACGACGAACACGACGAACACGACGACGACCACGACGACGACCACGACGACATCGACAACGACGACGACGACGGCGACGACGGCCACGACGGCCACGACGACGACAACGGCGACGACGACAACGGTGACGGCGGCGACGACGGCGGCGGGCAGCGACAACGGTGACGGCGGCGGCGGCGGCGGCGGCGACGGCAACGGCGGCGACGACGACGACGGCGGCGGGCAGCGACGACGGTGACGGCGGCGACGACGACGGCGGCGGCCGCAGGCGGAGGCCGCTGCCCCCGCTGCCCCCTGCGGCCCCGCGGCGCCCAACGCAGCCTCTGCTGGCGCTGGGGGCGGGGGCGGGCGGTCGGCGACGACGACGGAGACGGCAGCAAAGACTACGACGACGACTACGACGGCGACGACGACGGCGACGACGACGACGAACGCAACGACGACGACGGCGACGACGACGACGACGACGACGGCGACGACGGCGACGGCAGCGGCGACGACGACGGCGGCGGGCAGCGACAACGGCGACGGCGGCGACGACAGCGACGACGACAGCGACGACGACGGCGACGGCGGCGGCGACGGCGACGGCGGCGGCGACGACGACGGCGGCGGGCAGCGACGACAGCGACGGCAGCGCCGACGACGGCGGCGCCCGCAGGCGGTCTACCTGGCGCAGGCCCGACGAGGTCTCGCAGAAGCCGAGACCGCGCTGGGCGCGGAGAGACCTGCCTGCCACGCTGGGCAGCGACAGGAAAACACAGCGCGCGAGCGTAACCCCGTGGCCTGGGGGCCCCCCTGTGCGATGGGGGTGGGGACCCACTCGGGTGCCCCCAGGCCTTTTGCATCCTTGCCTTTCCTCGGCACCCGCTGCCGCGAGGCCCCCACAGGGGCTTCGAGTGTCCGCTCCCAGGGGCCTTGCATCCCGTCGGTGAACGATGCGCTCTGCGGGGCCTCGTCCCAAAGCGAGCAAATTCTGCCTGGGTAACCTCCTCTTTGCTTGCTGCGGGGCCGAGGCCCCCTGGAAGAGCGAAATGCACGGCGCCACCCCGCCCGCCCCAATGAGAAACTCAGTGTCAGAAACGCACGCGGTGCTCTCGGTTGATAGACAGGAAATCACGACAAGGCGCAGTCTGAGAACGGAAGATGCAAGCGCGCACGAGAGAGAGAAAGAGACAGAGCGAGAGAGAGAGAGAGAGAGGGGAGAGAGAGAGAGAGAGAGAGAGAGAGAGAGAGAGAGAGAGAGAGAGAGAGTGAGAGAGAGAGAGAGAGAGAGAGGAGAGAGAGAGAGAGAGAGAGAGAGAGAGAGAGAAGAGAACGAGAGAGAAAGAGAGAGAGAGAGAGGAGAGAGAGAGAGGAGAGAGAGAGAGAGAGAGGGAGAGAGAGAGAGAGAGAGAGAGAGAGAGAGAGAGAGAGAGACAGACAGACAGACAGACAGACAGACAGAGACAGGGAGAGACAGAGAGAGAGAGAGACAGAGAGCAGAGAGAGACGGACACAGAGCAAGAGAGAGAGAGAGAGAGAGAGAGAGGGGAAGGCCCTTTGCATCCTTGTCTGTCTGCAGCACCCGCTGCCGCGAGGCCCCCACGGGGGCTTCGAGCGTCCGCTCCCAGGGGCCTTGCATCCCGTCGGTGAACGATGCGCTCTGCGGGGCCTCGTCCCAAAGCGAGCAAATTCTGCCTGGGTAACCTCATCTTTGCTTGCTGCGGGGCCGATGCCCCCTGGAAGAGCGAAATGCACGGCGCCACCACCCCCGCCCCAATGGGAAACTCAGTGTCAGAAACGCACGCGGCGCTCTCGGTTGATAGACAGGAAACCACGACAAGGCGCAGTCTGAAAACGGAAGGTGCAAGCGCGCACGACTCTAATCTCTCCCAACCTCGGCTCGAGAGGGCGCCCCTGCGCGCCAAGTCACACCAGCAAAAGCCACTTTCTGTGGTCCAGAATACTACTCTCAAGCTTACCTGGTACCACGCCCTGCCCGCCGTTCTTTTCACGCCAGAGACAGCCACTTTCTGTGGCACAATACTACCTGGACATCTCGCAGAAGCCCCACCTGGACCCCGACGCCATGGCCGCTCCTGAGCACCTCCGCAGCCTCCACCGCTCTGGCACGAAGCGCAAGGCCGACACGGAGGACGGGGAAGAAGTCGAAATTGAGGTTCTCGACGAGCTGCCCGAATTGACCTGGCCCGAAACCGACACTCTCGCCGAGACGCTGGAGGCCGCGATCGAGAACTGGCAAAGCGACAGCGCACACCGAGCAGACCTGACTGGCTACCACAAAAAAGTTGTTGAACAACAAGAGCAGGAGGCGAGGGACCTGCTCCCGCTCGCGAAGTTCCTGAACTTCTCGAAGCTCTCCCTGAATACAAACGACTGGTGGGAGCGGGCCGAGGCAAGGGAAAAGCTCTACGAGTTCCTGAACAAGAAGAAGCTGCAGGGGGCGGACACCTGGTGCCGCACACGGCTGCCCTGGCACCCAGAGAAGAAGAAGGACTCTGAGGCAGAAGCAGTTGGGCGACACCCGCGCTGCTAAACGAGGACGACGGGAGAGGCGACGACGACGGCGGCGGGCAGCGACAACGGCGACGGCGGCGACCACGGCGACGACGACAGCGACGACGACAACGACGACGACGACGACGACGGCGGCGGCGGCGGCGGCGACGGCAACGGCGGCGACGACGACGACGGCGGCGGGCAGCGACGACGGCGACGGCGGCGACGACGACGGCGGCGGCCGCAGGCGGAGGCCGCTGCCCCCGCTGCCCCCTGCGGCCCCGCGGCGCCCAACGCAGCCTCTGCTGGCGCTGGTGGCGGGGACGGACGGTCGGCGACGACGACGGAGACGGCAGCAAAGACTACGACGACGACTACGACGGCGACGACGACGGCGACGACGACGACGAACGCAACGACGACGACGGCGACGACGACGACGACGACGGCGACGACGACGACGGCAGCGGCGACGACGACGGCGGCGGGCAGCGACAACGGCGACGGCGGCGACGACAGCGACGACGACAGCGACGACGACGGCGACGGCGGCGGCGACGGCGACGGCGGCGGCGACGACGACGGCGGCGGGCAGCGACGACAGCGACGGCAGCGCCGACGACGGCGGCGCCCGCAGGCGGTCTACCTGGCGCAGGCCCGACGAGGTCTCGCAGAAGCCGAGACCGCGCTGGGCGCGGAGAGACCTGCTGCCACGCTGGGCAGCGACAGGAAAACACAGCGCGCGAGCGTGACCCCGTGGCCTGGGGGCCCCCCTGTGTGATGGGGTTGGGGACCCACTCGGGTGCCCCCAGGCCTTTTGCATCCTTGCCTTTCCTCGGCACCCGCTGCCGCGAGGCCCCCACAGGGGCTTCGAGTGTCCGCTCCCAGGGGCCTTGCATCCCGTCGGTGAACGATGCGCTCTGCGGGGCCTCGTCCCAAAGCGAGCACATTCTGCCTGGGTAACCTCCCCTTTGCTTGCTGCGGGGCCGAGGCCCCCTGGAAGAGCGAAATGTACGGCGCCACCCCACCCGCCCCAATGAGAAACTCAGTGTCAGAAACGCACGCGGTGCTCTCGGTTGATAGACAGGAAATCACGACAAGGCGCAGTCTGAGAACGGAAGATGCAAGCGCGCAGAGAGAGAGAGGAGAGAGAGAGAGAGAGAGAGAGAGAGAGAGAGAGAGAGAGAGAGAGAGAGAGAGAGAGAGAGAGAGAGACAGAGAGAGAGAGAGAGAGAGAAGAGAGAGAGAGAGAGAGAGAGAGAGAGAGAGAGAGAGAGGGAGAGAGAGAGAGAGAGAGAGAGAGAGCAGAGAGAGACGGACACAGAGCAAGAGAGAGAGAGAGAGAGAGAGAGAGAGAGAGAGGGGAAGGCCCTTTGCATCCTTGTCTGTCTGCAGCACCCGCTGCCGCGAGGCCCCCACAGGGGCTTCGAGCGCCCCCTCCCAGGGGCCTTGCATCCCGTCGGTGAACGATGCGCTCTGCGGGGCCTCGTCCCAAAGCGAGCAAATTCTGCCTGGGTAACCTCCTCTTTGCTTGCTGCGGGGCCGAGGCCCCCTGCAAGAGCGAAATGCACGGCGCCACCACCCCCGCCCCAATGGGAAACTCAGTGTCAGAAACGCACGCGGCGCTCTCGGTTGATAGTCAGGAAATCACGACAAGGCGCAGTCTGAAAACGGAAGATGTAGCGCGCACGACTCTAATCTCTCCCAACCTCGGCTCGAGAGGACCCATTCGTTCACACCAGCAAAAGCCACTTTCTGTGGTCCAGAATACTACTCTCAAGCTTACCTGGCATCCTCTACGCCGAACCACAGAAGACACAGCCACTTTCTGTGGCACAATACTACCTGGACATCTTGCAGAAGCCCCACCTGGAACCATGGCCGACCCGAGCTCTGCCGCCGCCGCCGCGCCCGCCTCGCTGTTTGGCACTGGTGCCAAGCGCAAGGCAGAGACTGGGGACAAGCCAGAGGTCGTGAAGCGGCACCAGCTGAAGAACGTCGACACTGTCGCCGCAAAGCTCCTGGACCCCTACGGCGTGAGCCTGCTTGACGAGATAGACCTGGAAGCTTTGTGGACCGTCGTATCAAAGGGAGACCACTACGCAAAGTTCTACAGCGAGCTTGCCGCCTCTGACCTGAACTGCCCTGACCCGGTGTACCGCGTCGGCATTGGCCTGTCCAGGTTCGCCCAGACGTTGGAGACCGCGATCGAGACCTGGTTGAGGCAAGACGAGCTCCGCGCGATGATGCTGCCGAAAGTTGTGGAGAAGATTGACAAGGAGGCAAACTTGCTGCTCCCACACATGAAGGTGCTCAACATCGGGAAAGGAGGGCCGACCACGCAGAAAGACACGCTGAGCGCACTGAAGAAGGAGCGAGCGTCGAATGCCCCGACTAAAGCACCACCGGAGACTCCTGCCCTCGAAGCAGCAGGGGCTAAGCTCCTGGAGTTCCTGGCTCTCGGCACCAAGAGCAATCTCGGCATGGCGTTGTCGAACCTGTCGACTGGCGGCATCTTCTACTCTGCCTCCGCCCAGGTTCGGCCGTTGCTAAATGCGCCCCTGGCCCAAGGTGCCGCCGGCGCTTCCAGGGCCTGCCCCCCCCCCCTCGGCGCCCAGAACACCTCCGACGAGGCCCAGAGGGGCCCAGAGGTTCCAAAATAGCACAAAGAGCTGGAGGCACCTAGGGCCAGGGACACCTTTAGCACAACCCCCGACAGGTGAAGACTGCGAGGGCCTGGGCCGCCCACAGCGAGAAGACGGGCTCCACTGTAGACCAGGCGTACGTGGTGAAGTGCATCAAGGAGAGGGCCAGCGTCTCGAAGGAGCCCGCTGCCTCCCGGAGGTTCGAGCGCGAGAGAGCGACGGGGGACCTGCTCACGAAGTGAGCAAAGCAATCACGCGAGACAGCAACAATGGCTGGAGAAACTACTTGTCACCTGGTGTCTTTAAGCAGTCAACTTAGTTTCTGTGCCGCTGCAGTACCCTCAAGCTACCCTCGCTCATCTTGCCATGGTTTGACATCTGAATTCAGGCGTTGCTGCTGGCGTGTGGCGCATTGAAAAGCCCAACCGTCGAGCCCGGGGCGGCACGTCGGCAGCGCGCCATCCTGGTCTCGCAGAAGACGAGACGGCGAGGAGCGCACCCCACTCGACTGGACTGAGGGAGGGCCCACGGGCCAGGGACAGCCACAACTGAGCCCCTCACTGGTCGCGCTGGCCGCGGAGAGACCTGCCTGGCAGCGCTGGGCAACGACAGAAAAAGAAGCGAGAGCGTAACCCCGTGGCCTGGGGGTCCCCCTGTGTGATGGGGGTGGGGACCCACTCGGGTGCCCCCAGGCCTTTTGCATCCTTGCCTTTCCTCGGCACCCGCTGCCGCGAGGCCCCCGCAGGGGCTTCGAGTGTCCGCTCCCAGGGGCCTTGCATCCCGTCGGCGAACGATGCGCTCTGCGGGGCCTCGTCCCAAAGCGAGCAAATTCTGCCTGGGTAACCTCCTCTTTGCTTGCTGCGGGGCCGAGGCCCCCTGGGAGAGCGAGCGACGCGAGCAAAGAGAGAGAGAGAGAGAGAGAGAGAGAGAGAGAGAGAGAGAGAGAGACAGACAGACAGACAGACAGACAGACAGACAGACAGACAGACAGACAGACAGAGACAGAGACAGAGACAGAGACAGAGAGAGACAGAGAGAGACAGAGAGAGACAGAGAGAGACAGAGAGAGACAGAGAGAGACAGAGAGCAGAGAGAGACGGACACAGAGCAAGAGAGAGAGAGAGAGAAGGGGGGAAGGCCCTTTGCATCCTTGTCTGTCTTCGGCACCCGCTGCCGCGAGGCCCCCACAGGGGCTTCGAGCGCCCGCTCCCAGGGGCCTTGCATCCCGTCGGTGAACGATGCGCTCTGCGGGGCCTCGTCCCAAAGCGAGCAAATTCTGCCTGGGTAACCTCCTCTTTGCTTGCTGCGGGGCCGAGGCCCCCTGGAAGAGCGAAATGCACGGCGCCACCCCCCACCCCCGCCCCAATGGGAAACTCAGTGTCAGAAACGCACGCGGCGCTCTCGGTTGATAGACAGGAAATCACGACAAGGCGCAGTCTGAAAACGGCAGATGTAAGCGCGCACGACTCTAATCTCTCCCAACCTCGGCTCGAGAGGGCGCCCCTGCGCGCCAAGTCACACCAGCCACAGCCACTCTCTGTGGAAGAATACGACTCTCAAGCTCACCTGGTACCACGCCCTGCCCGCCGTTCTTTTCACACCAGAAACAGCCACTTTCTGTGGAAGAATACTACTCTCAAGCTTACCTGCTATCCTCTACGCCGAACCACTCTACTTGGACATCTCGCAATGGGACGCGGCGGAGAAAAGAAGAAGGGCCGCGGCAAAGGCACTGCGCTGGCCCTGACACGCAGCCTGCGCAAGAGACTCGCAGATTCACCCCTGGTCAGGAAGAAACTCAAGGAAGAAGGCTTCGCAAAGGCGCGGATCTCACAGCTGATGAAAGAGACGCGGGACCAGCCCACCGAGGAGAGCCCGCCGCCCGAGGACGCAGTGCCAGCCACACCAGAGCTGCCGCGGCGCAAGGACGACGCCTCAGAGGCAGCGACACCTGGCACCCCAGCGAGAACACCACTGCAGCAGCGCGAGCCTGGATCAGCACGCCGCACGGGCGCTGTCCTCCCCCCTGGCCAGAGATTGCGGCGCGGCCTCGCGGCAGCCCTCAAGGGCCGCCGCCTGAGAGGGAAGCAGGCCCCTGGCGGCGCAGCGCCCGCCGTCCTGCGCAGGCCAGCCGCAGCGGCGAAGGCCACAGCACGCCGCGCCAGCGGGCCCCTGGACCCAAACCTGGTAGCAAGGTTCAAGGAGCTCCTGGACGCGGGGAAGAAGGTCGCAGCCATTGGCAGAGAACTAGGAATCGATGACCACATGTGCACTGCCATTGTACGCAACCTGGGCCGCGACGCCAAGGCCACCCTGGACGCCAAGAAGAAAGCACAGTGCCTGGAGCTCCTGAACGAAGGCAAGACCCGCGCGGAGATCGTGCAGACCCTGGGGATCAACACTGACACGTTCGCGAAGTGGAGCAGAGAGAGGCGCCGAGAGGCTAAAGACCAGAAGGACACCAGGTGCGCGGAGCTACTCGAGGCTGGCGAGAGCCACGAGAGCATCACGAAGACTTTGGGGATCGATAACAACGCCGTCGCCGCGGCAAGAAAGAGGAGGCGCAGCGACACCTTCGGCGAGACCCCTGAGCAGACCTGGGCCAAAGAGGCCGCCAAGCGGTTCCACCTGCCCTGGAAGTGCCTGCGCCTCGACGACTGCAGCTCCGAGCCCAACCCTCAGGACTCTGCGCTCCAGCGGTGGTTGCGCTGCGGCTCCTGGACCTTCTGCCCTCAGTGCGGCCGCGAGTCGAACAACGGCAAGCTGGCGGATACCTGGTTCAAGGGCAGAGGCAACGGCGTCGCCATCCCTTGCAACAACGGCTGCGACCCCTCGCCCCAGGCTCTCTCCAAGGACCACTACTACCGCCCAGAACGCGACGAGGAGAGCCGCCAACCACTCCCAGAGGTGCACAACACCCACTACCCTGCCTCCGCAATGCCGAAGAAAGCCCCGAAGCTCATGTGCTACGTCACTCCCAGGAACGACCGCCCTCCGCCAGAGACAGAAGCCGAGACGTACACCGTGGGCGCCCTGGAGCACCCCTGGAAGGACATGTACGGCGAGGGCCACCTGGGCGACTGGCCGCAGCAGCTCCTGGACCCGAACGAGAAGGAGGCGGAGTCCCTGGCCGTGATCACCCTGCGGGTAGAGAAGCGCCAAGTGCGCGGAGGGAAGGCGCCCACCTGGAACTGGCAGAAGATGGGCGTCGTCACGGCGCACTGGCTCCGCCGCGACGTCACGGACGGGCTCACCCCCAGGGCGCGGGCCGCCTTCGACTGGCTGATGCGCTACAACGCCACGTACGCCAGGTTCGTGCAGCAGCACCGCAAGGAGAAGGCCCAGGCTACCACCCAGGACTGGTTCGTCATCAAGACTGCACGGCTCCTACTCAACCTACTTGGCGTGGAAGTAGCCGCGCGCCCCTGGCTCCACCCCCTCGCAGAGTACGGAGACTCCGACATCAAAGAGCGCCTGCTGAGGCTCGGCCAGCTCACGCAGAAGAACAAGCCGTCCCTGCAGAGCAGCTGGTGCCGCAAGCTCCTGAGCCGCCACGCGGGCTACGGCGAGGACTTCGAGCTCTTCTGCCTCCTCTACGACATCAGCCTGGCCCGCCGCGTGTCTGCGTGCGCGGCCACTGCAGCCAAAGAGGAGATCTCGCCCGAGGAGGCCGCGTCAGACATGCCCAACTTCGGGGGCTACTGGCAGAAGCAGCCCCTCAAACTCCAGGACATGTGCAGGCAGTACGTGACGGACGAGAAGTACCTGGCGGGGAACGCTCATCTGCGCCTGAACGATGCGAGAGACCCCCTCCCAGAGAGCTACTCCCGCGGCCTGCCGAACCTGTACTTCACCATGGCCCCTGCAGAGTGGAAGGCGCTGCTCCACGAGGGACTCCTGGGCTGGAGGCAGCGAGCCGACAACCTCTCGGAAGGGCAGGCTGCGCTCACGCTGCACCTCCACCACATCCTGGGCACCCTGATCAGAGACGTAATCCTGAGGAAGGGCGCCCCGACGGACGAGGAGGGCAACTTCAGAGACGCCTACTTCGAGAAGAGGCACGCGTGCGGCATCGACGAGGTCTTCGACTACTGCTTGCGGTTCGAGTTCCAGAGCAGGGGCACACTCCACGTCCACGTCCTGGCCTGGGCCAAGTACTCCAAAACCAACATGGACGAGATGTCGGGCAGGTCCAACCAGGAGGGCCCCAAGTCGGACCTCCTCAAGTGGTTCGAAGAGCTGTCCAGGAGTTCCGTGGACGTCCAGTGCGGCGACGGCCACAACACCGTCTTGCAGTACGTCGCGGGCTACGTGAGCAAGGCCTCGGACGCACTCACGTTCAAGTACGGCGACTACACAGAGCGAGACAGCCCCTGGCGCATGACTTACAGACTGCTGTGCAAGAGAGCCCCCCTGCTCCCTGAGATGGCCCTGGAGTTCTCGGACTGCAACCCCATCGACAACTCCTACCGCCACGACTTCGTCTACGCACCGCTCCCGCGCCACCGAGAGGACGACGAGGGCCCTCGCACCACCGAGCCAGAACCCAGGCGCGGCGAGAGCAGCAAGCGCAGGGCCGCCAAGAACTCCAGCACGAAGCTCTACGAGGCTTACTTGAAGCGCCCAGACCCCACGCCCTTTGACGAGTGGCGCCAGGATCGGGCAGTGCCAAGGGGAAGCACCACTAGGGGGGTCGCCAACTTCTCTTGGAAATCCAAGTTCCAGGATCGAGGGTCGAGGAGGTTCTTGGACGTTTCTTTGCGTTTTTTGGGGCTCTGAGGGGCCCAATCAATTCCTTGAGGAAGACTCCTGGAAGCGGCGTTCCTTCATGGAGGTGGCGACCCCCTTAGTGATGACCTCCTTGGCACTGCCCCACAGGAACAGAACGCCTGCGACAGCGAGACTACGCGGAAGCAGTACGAGGACTACAAGAAGAGGCTCACAGGGTCCTTCCTCGAGTGGCTCCGGGGCTACCGCCTGGTCAACGGCGAGGTAAAGGACAGGGGCGGCCACGGCGTCGGGAAGAACAAGGAGCGCTGCGCCATCGGCGTGCACTACCCCTACGAGATGCTCGACAACTTCCTGGGCGCGTTCATAGCCATGAACACCCCGCACTCAAGCGAGGCAGAGCTGGCCCCAGACCTGAGCCCAGACGTCCCCGAGGGCACGCGCTACCTGGCGACCGCCCTGATGCAGGAGCGCTACGGCGGCAACCCAGGCAAGCGCGAGTACGGAGACGTGG